TGTGTTAGATCTGCTCGGACACAGAGGTGAGCGAGCAAAAAAAGGACGGACCCAGGTGGCTGACTTCAGTGCAAGTAGTGCTCAGTATATTTACAGTGATATCTTACAAGGAAGTGAATAACCAGGTTGAAGTGGGACCGGGTGTCGAGCCGCAGAAGGTGAATAACAGTCAGTGGTGGAATGATGAGGGAAAGGCCCGGCTGCGGACGCTGGGACTCACTCCTGGGCTGGTCGTGGTGGAAGGTTGCTGAGGAGACAGAGTTAGTACATGCAGTTAATGGGAGACTGTGCATCCACCTGCGTGGTGGAGATGGTGCGGGGTTGAGGAGGTCCGTGGTCCGGAGAAGCGACAGAGGCGAGGAGGCTGAGACAATGGGGCACAAGACTGGAACGGGGCTAGGGCGACAAAAACGTGAGTACAATATAAAGCTAAGAACAACGAGAAACAAACGGGGGCTAAACAGCATAACAGTCAAAAATAAATACCCTTTACCACTAATTCACTCTGCCATCGAGCCACTGCAGGGAGCATTGGTCTTCACAAAACTGGACTTGCACAATGCTTACCCCCTAGTACAAATAAGATAAGGGGACAAATGGAAGACTGCATTCAAAACACCTCTGGGACATTTTGAATACCGGGGCATGCCATTTGGGCTGACAAATGCTCCAGCAGTCTTACAGGCCGTTATAAATGACGTCCTATGAGACTTTATAGGCTGGTTTGTGTTTGTGTACCTGGATGATATATTAATCTCCTCTTCCTCTCTTACAGAACATCATAACCATGTCAGACAAGTGCTCCTCCACCTACTAGAAAACAGACTCTATGTCAAAGCTGAAAAGTACGCTTTCCACACAGACAGCATCACCTTCCTGGGATTCATTGTGGAGAAAGGCAAGGTGTGGGTGGACCCCTCCAAAATCACCGCGGTCACCACATGGCCCACTCCTCAGTCCAAAAGGGACCTGCAACACTTCCTCGGTTTCACAAACTTCTACCGATGGTTTATTAGAGTGTACAGCTCTGTCTCCTCTGACCTCTGCCTGTTCCCAGCCGCCAATGGTCCCATATTGCCATAGACTTCCTCACCGAACTCCCGCCGTCAAATGGACACTCAGTGATTCTGTCCATCATAAACCCTTTTTCTAAGGCTGCAGACTTCATTGCCCTTCCATAACTGCCTTCTGCACTGGAAACGGCAAACCTGCTGGTTCAACATGTCTTCCGCCTTCATGGGATCCTTTGGAAATTGTTTCTGATCGAGGACCCCAATTTATCTCCCAAGTCTGGTCTGCGTTCTACACAGCCCTTGGTGCAGTGCGGTGGCAGTCCGTCTCCAGCTTCCGCCATCCCTGCGAGTACACCCGGTCTTCCATGTCTCTCAGCTGAAGCCCTGTTGCTCCAGCCCCCTGTGTCCTCCTGCGCCACTTCCTCCTCCTCCCATCGAGGTTGACGGCGGCCCGCAATATTCGGTCAGATGCATCCTGGATGTGCATCCCAGGGGCAGGGGTTTCGAGAATC